CAGGAGCAGGTTTAAAAAGTCCCACTATGGGACCTTAGGTGCTATGCCTTTCTGGCTTCATGGAGCAGTGTGATTCTGCCCTTTTGTGCCCCAGCCGTGAGTTTGGACAGTCAGTGGGTGTGTTTCCCGCCCTGGCTGCCTTGTCAGTTGGCCACCCAACCTCTTCCCTATTGAGGCTGAGCAAGGGGAATTCCAGACATGCTTTTTTCCCCCCCTTCTTCCAAAGGACTAGAAAATTAGCTCAGAAGCCTTCTTCCTTTCTTTCCCCTAATTGGGCAGAAATACCCTGGCTCGTGCAGACACTGGCGTTGCTGCAGTGAATGCCCTCTCCCAGCTACCCCTTGATCATGGTCTTTCGACAGCAGCCTCATTACATGCAGGCCCTGCTGCCAGCCCGTTGCTAATAAATGAAGGCTATGCATGTCCTAGAAAAACTGAGGCTGCTTCCACTCTGTTAACCTCAGCAGATCTGGCTTTTTGGGCAATGTTGAGAGCACAAGGTCAAGGAGAGCAGGGATGGCCTTTGATGGCTCAAGGTGAAAGCACCAGGGGATGCAAGGGTCAGCTGAGGTGTAAGGAAGTTCAGTGTGTTACAGACTCCTTGGAGCTGCTGAGCTTGCTTAAAAGGGATGAGATTTGTTGGTCTTGGCATGTTGTGTGAACAGAGAGGAAGTAGAGGGTTCATATTCCTGTGCTCTTTAGTGGTACTGGCTGGAGCTCCTTTGAAATCTCCTCAGCAGCTTGAGAAGTCAGAGTGCGGCATTTACAGGGAAGAGAAATCGTAAGAGATCTTTCTTGGAGGAGAGCATCTTTGGGTTGGCAATGATGAGCAATCCAAGTTGCCCTAACTTATGTGTGGTTAGGTGGCTGGGAAGGAAAGCATCATTTTAAAGTGCAAGATAGTTTGGGTACACGGGTATATTTCCAGTTATGCTTTGAAGTCACTAGGTAGTTGTGAGCAAACTGAAACCCTTCTGCCATGGTTTGCCTGTATGCATGAGTAAGATAATATCAATACTGTTGTCTTATGGAGACTTAATGCATTATTTAAAATGCTTTGAGATGCCAGGATGAAAAAGGCCAGCACAGAAGAGAAACACACCCAGTACTAACATTTGGGTTTCTCACTGCTGACACTGCTACCCTTTTGTGAGTGAGTACTTACAGTGCATGACAGGTGAGTGGAATTTCATCTTGGCTTGACACAAAACATGGGTGTAGTGTGAACCCTAATTTGTGCTTAGCTGTGTAATATCAAGCCCAAAGGTCCTTCTGCTGAATATTTGAATATTGGCATTTTGGTTGGACTGGGCCTAGCAGGGCTATTGGCACTGTGGGCTTTGGGCTGCTAGTGGCTCCAGGGTGAGATTTCCATATCCTTAGCACAACTGGCCTTTGCCCTTGCCTGTCTCTCCAGGATTTGACAAATAGCTTCCAGATAGAGAATGTGTGAGCATGGGAGTCCTTTTCACCTCACAGTTTCCCATTTGAATCCAGGCCTTGTCAGTTCCTGAAAATTGTTATTATCTGTTTGCCTGTCTGAGCTTACCTCTGTGCTATGAGGGGGTACTGCAAAACCCACTGCTGATGCTGGTGGTTGTTTCATCACTGTCTCTGCTCTGGGCCTCACTCTTTAGAGTGACTGAGCAGAGTTCAAGGGCCTGACTGTGCTGAACATAGTGGCTTATACCATTTCCTAAGGGGCCTGGTGCCAGAACTTGTCTCTTCCAGGTATGAAAAGTTGGACCATAGCAGTCCTTTGTCGCTGGGTGCAGTAGAGTGCTTGTTGAAGCAATATAATAAGGAAACTGTTGCAGAAACCGATTGCGCCATTACAGAATGAGAAGTCCTGTTTCTAGTAACCTCCTGCAATTTTGCTTTTATTTTTCACCCCCAGAAATAATTCCCCAGCAGCTGTTCCTCCAGCGCAGAAGCCCTCGTCTATCTCACCCCTGCCAACATTTGGCACTGAAGTAGCCAGCAAAACAACTGCTATGGCTGGCTGCTACAAGGCAATCCTAGCATGAGAAAGTTTGGGGCTGAAAAAGATTGATTAGGTTT